CCAGCCCTCCCCGGCTCCCCGGGGCTTAGAGAGGGAGGGACGAAAGGGCGCATCCTCTGATCCAGGGCGCAGGCGGAAAAAACAAAATGTGGCGCATTTCATTTCACTCCAAATGAAAAGAGCTGTATTGAGTCCCAGGGGAGCATGTGTAATCTACAACCGCTGCCTTTATGGAAGAGAAGGACGCCGATGAGGATGTCTCCACGGCCTTTAAGAGGATGTTTCCGCGGCCTTTAACCACTGAAAGGCTAATATCGGGCCTCTTTGAGAAGGAGCCACCCGGGAGTCCTGAGATTAGAGCAGAGAGGCTGGTGGGGTTGCCCAACCCGGGGAGCACCTGAAGAGGAAACCTGGTCAGAAAAGGGAGGGGATCACCCAGGTGACACAGCAAGACCGGGACTTGGATCATCATGTCCAGAATGTCCCTATCACTGACTGATGCAATCTCCTTCCTCCACATGCTCTGCAAGGCTCACAGCTCTGCTCTCCGCCTAGGAAACCCTGTCCTAAAGAGGCTGGTGGTGAACAGTGCCCTTCCTCCTCCCAGATGCGTCGCCCCACCCCTCCCCCCACACAGCGCTGACTGTTCTGTGAACTGCTGACTGAGCTGCTTGGGGTGGGCCATATGGCCTGGAAGTTCAGTGGGGCTCACGCGGAGTGGTGAGCCCTCTTTCCGTGGAAAGGAGTGGACACTAAATGATCCGTCAGAGCTGCAGGAGAAATGCTGGCATTGGGCAGGGGGGTGGCCTACAGCAGGATTTCTTAACCTCCACAATACTGACAGTTTGGACGGGATGATTCTTTGCGGCAGGGGCCATCCTGTGCAGCGTCCTGTGTTAAGCAGCACCCCTGACCTCTCCTCACTAGATGCCAGCAGCATCACCCCCCCCAACTGTGATAACCCAAATTGTCTCTTGGCATTGCCCAATGTCCCCCTGAGGGGCAAAATCACCTGTGGGGGTGACGCGGACCACTGTTGTAAAGCTTTTCTAACATCCCAGAGAGGAAAAAGTACTTGTCAGGCAAGTCCTGGACTCAGATCCCAGCTCGGCCACTCACTGCACTTAATTCTCTGAGCCTCGGTGTCTCTACCAAATGTGCATGCACATGGATCACAGGGTTGCTGGGAGCGGCACTACATGAGATGTCTCTGAAGGGCCTGGCATTTGCAAGCACCAGTAAGCCACAAGGATTGTTGTTTTGTGTTTATTATGGCTTGAGTTGAGAGGGGCGTTGTGGGAACTTTTACTGTGTGTGTGTGTGTGTGAGAGAGAGAGAGAGAGAGAAGCCATGGATATAAATGTGAAGACGGGCTAAGGGATGTGGATGTGGGCATAAGGCCAGGAAGGCATGAGTCTGAGAGGATGGAAGCTGGGCAGGTGTAGTTCGGGGGCCTGAGGCAGACATGGGTGAGTGTGGATCTGGGGAGACAGGTGTGGTCTTTGCAGCGACAGCTGTGGGCCTGGGGCGCACACTGGGTCTATAGGCAGACATGGGCCAGGGTGCTTCCTCTGCCTCAGGGTGAAGAGGTGACCCTGCTGGGTGACCCTGAGCAAGTCTCTCCCCACCCTCAAGCCTTAGCCTCTGGGAAAGTTCGTTGGAGAGGCAGATGTCTGCAGGCCCTTCCAGCTCCATCGACGGCGCTGGATTATGTCAAATGGAGAGAGGGTAGGGATAGAGAAGTCCCAAGGAGCTCGCTCCCCAAGATGGGACTGCGAGGTCCCCGCCAAGTCAGGCCATTAATGGGAACTTCACGCCTCCCTCCCTGAGGGGTTCTGGCCAGAGCAGTGTGTTCCTGCCCAGGATGACTGTGGTTCTGCCCCAAGAAGAGGGGACTCAGGGCAGGGCAGCCCACCCCCAAACCCTCCGGGGCCTGGAGGGAGGCCCCTGTCCCTGGCACAGCACCTCTCCTGTGACCTGCTGGCAGCTCCCAGGACTCCCCACACACCTCCCACACTCAACAATGTCTGAGAGGAGAGGAAGAAAGTTTCTGAATCTGGATTTGAACTCTGCTGTGTGGCGTGCCCGAAAGGCTCCCAGCCCAGAACCTCCGAACACAAGAGGCGGTGGGCCAAGGAAGAGGAAAGAAAAGATGCAGGTAGAGGTGGAGGAGGAGAGGAAGGAAGCAGAGGGATGGCAGGGGGGCAGCCCAGGATGAGGCTCCGGGGTTGAGCGTGGCAGTCCTGTGCCCATGCCTGCCGGGCCTACCTCGCACAGACATCCTCTTGGGGAGGATAGTGACGGCACCCTCAGCTACCTCCTCCAGGTGCAGCACAGGTGCGATCTTGGAGCCCCAGCTGTCTGAGCCCATCCAGAAGAAGTGGCCGGTCTGGTTGGCCCTTCGAGCCGCCTCCAGCACACGCCTGTGGGAACACATGCCAGCCCAGCCCAGTCATGTCTGTCCATGCAGTAACCCCTAGTCCCGGCCACACCTCTCCTGATGTGGGCACAACCTGTCCCCAGGCCATGCCTGAACTCCTACCCCTGACTCCTATGAGCCCAGGGCCCACAGCTGCCCAGCACCCACACCCCTACCCCCAGCCCATGGCTCTCCCCATCCCAGCCCATACCTGCCCACAGGCCCAGTGTGCTCCCCGGGCCCACATCAGTCCCTGCAAAGACCACACCTGTCTCCCCAGGTCCATACTGGCCCCATGAACTCAGGCCCCAGAACTACACCTGCCCAGCCCCTGTCCTCAGACGCATGCCCTGCTCCTATGCCGGCATCCCTTGGCCCGTTGTCACCTTTATACCCACAATCACACACACATGTACACCCCCCCATCCCCTGTAGGTCATCCCTACCAGCAGCACCCTCTCCATCCACCACCCTCTGTGCCAGAAGTCCAGGGCCTTCCCAGAGCTGCTCCCCACTCCTGGATGTGACGATGGGTGTGGACGGACAAGGGTGTGGGGCCAAAAGTTCCCACCCACCCAATCTGCCTGTGACCGTGTCACAGGGACCCAGAGCCAGCACAGGGCCAAGAAGGCCACAGCAGGCACCCAGTCAGCACTTACTGGATGCATGAATCAAGTGGCCCTGCAAAGCTTCTCCTCAGAGGGGAGACACAGGGAGGGATGGGCAGGACTCCCCAACCCAGCTCCTCCCTCAGGGAGACTGGAGCAGAGAGGAGGCAAGGAACTTGCTCCTGGTCACACAGCAAGTGAGAGGCTGTGATACGGGTGAGCACCAGGGCAGACTCCAGGACCTGGTGGTGGCTGCAGGGCTGTGTGGGAGGGGGCTGGCAGGGGCAGGAGGGCCTGGAGGGCCTGAGGCTTCCAGGAAGAACAGAGGGTTCCTGGTCCCAGAGCCTGCACCTGGGCTGGACCTGCCTGGCCCAGCCTCACCCTCATCCCACCCACCCTCCCCCATCATCTCCAACTCCCAACACTTCCAGGGCCCCCAGTGATGCAGCGCCACCCCCCCAGTCACCACTGATGGCAGGCGGGGCTGCTTCCAGAATCCCCCCCCACAGCCTGGTCAATACCTGCCTGCTTCCAGCCAGCCCAGGATGACCAGAGCTCCTGCCAGCCATCCCTGTGAACCCACCTGGGTTTATTTTTATTTCTGTTTGATGCTGAAAATGCATGTGGATGGCCAGAAACGGCCCCTGCCTCCCCTGCCACGTCCCGCAGCCTGCTCAGGAAGTCCAAATAGTCCCATCCCACCCTCCTGGGTGCCTCTTCTCGGGGACCAAGGACCCAATCTTTCATCCTTCCCCTCCTCGGCATGTGGGTCCCTCTGAGCTGACAAGGCCCCCAAAAGCAGCAGGCCTGGAGTGGGGTGCACAACCGAGTGGGGCGTGGGAGAGAGTCGGACCAGGCTGTGGGTGGGAGGAGGCGCAGGAGCCAGGGAGCAAGGGACTGCAGGCTCAGAAGGGGGTCCTCGCACCCCAGGAGCTGGCTGACCACTGGCACCAGGGACATTCAGAGCAAGGATTGAGGGGACCTGTATGCCTTGAGGAGGTGCAAGCTGCTTCTGTGTACAGTGTAGGGGGTGTCAGGACAGTTCTGACCTCCCCTGAGAGACCTCCCTTCTCCAGCCTTCCGCTGCCTGAGACCTCTCTCTTGCCGTTGGTCCTTCTGGCTTTGGAGGCCCTGATGATCTTCCAGAACTCTCTCCTCCACACTCCAGGGACCCTGCATTGTCCTGAGGGGTTCTCTGTTTTGCTGCAACTCTAGGGTCCATAATAGGCTCTTACCAAGTGAGAAAATGGATTTGAAAGAACAGGACTCAGGATATGGGCTCCTGAGGCATGGGAGGGAGCCCCATGGGAAAGGGTGGGCTAGGGGTACCCTAGGCTGGGCCAAGGAGAGGGGGAGTCAGCATAGCAGGTTCCACCTGCTCAGGTCATATCTAAGAGAGAAAGTCTAGGGGGCCACGTCTGCTGTCTCACCCTCCTCTGAAAAGGCAAGACCATGCCTCCCCAACCAGACTCCAGTAGGGCTGTGTCTCCCCTCAGACTGGGGCTCCCTGAGGACAGGGCCGTGTCTGCCCCTTAGACTGGGGATCCCTGAATATCAAGCTATCTCTCCCCTCTGACTAGAGCTCTCTGAGGACAGGGTATGTCTCCTCTCAGACTATGGCTCCCTGAGGACAGGACTGTGTCTCCCCCCCCTCAGACTGGGGTTCCCTGAGGACAGGGCTGCGTCTCCCCTCAGACAGGGCTATCTCTCAGACCTGACTCATCTTGACACCCAGTCAGGGAAGTGGGAGCCAAGGAAAATTAGGAGGAAAGGTTTGGGGATAGGAGGGAGCTCCAGGTTCGCCTGTTAACTGTGTTCATGTGTCTGACTGTTGCCATGGCCCCTGGGGTGGTGGTACAGACAGGGACTGGTCCAGGGTTCCATACTTCATGGTCCTGTCCCCAGAGTTCAACTGCTCCCACTCTGCATATGGGGAGACTGAGGCTCAGTGAGGAGCCCACCTTGCCCCTTGTGAGTGTGTGCCAAGCCAGGCTAGAACCACAGCCCAGCCTCCTCCCTGTACTCTGTGCTCAAGGTGGCCAGCCGTTCCTGGGCTCCTGCTTCTCTCCAGGCCCTACTCTACACCCTTCGTGTACATCCCTGCACTCAGTCCTCAACACTCAGGCAGGTGTCATCAGCTCATTGTTATTTGTTTAGCAGCAGGGGCCCAGAGAGGTTACCACACAGTCACACAGTAGGTGGGAGAACAGGATTAAAACCTAGGGGGTCTGGCCTCAAGCCCACAGCCTCAGCCCCTGCATTAAAGCACTCCTTAGCCACCACTGGCAGGAGGAACGGATGCACCACTGGCAGGAGGAACGGATGGGGGGGGACGGTGCCTCTTCAGCCCATATCCCAGCCTGTAGGGTCTTTCTGCTCACACTTACAGCTGCCCCCACCTCTCTGGATTCCAGGGAGGGGTCAGGTTTGCCTGGGAAGGCCTTCGGCAGACAGACCCCGTGGCTCTCCCACACCCACCTGCTCCCTGCACCCGCCCTGCTGCTGCCTGTCCTCACCTGATGTCATCCTCGTTGGCGAAGATGATGACTGCCCTGGCGTTTGAGGTCTCCAGGAGGCGACGGATGATCTTGTCGAACTCGCCCATCTTGGGCTCTCGAGGAATCTTCACCGACTGTGCGATGCACACGCCTCCTGCGGGAGGTCACCAGTCAGCCTGGGACAGACAGGGGAGGCCGAGAACCCAGCCTGACTCCCAGCCCTGAGGTCCCAGTATGTGGATATGGGCCGTGCAGTCAGAATAATCACAGTGTCAGTCGTGGCTCCACTCACTAGCTGGTGACCCTGGACGTGTCACTTAAGTACTCTGTGCGGAAAGGCTGGGCTCGGTGGCTCAGCCTGTAATCCCAGCACTTTGGGAGACCGAGGTGAGTGGATTGCCTAAGTCCGCAGGTTTGAGACCAGCCCTGGCAACTTGGGGAGACCTCATCTCTACAATAAAATAAAAAATTAGCCGGGCATGGTAGCACATGCCTGTAGTTCTGGCTACATGGATGGCTGAGGTGGAAGGTCAACGCTGGGGTGGCCATGAGTGTGCCACTGCATTCCAGCCTGAGTGACAGAGTGAGACTCCGACTCAAAAAAAAAGTACTCTGTGCCTCAGTTTCCCATGCAACAAATATATCACTGATGAAGTGGAGATAATAATACTACGTACTTTATAAGACAATTCTAAAATAAATGAGTTAATGCATATTAGTACAATAATGTCTGGTACATAGTAAGTGTTTCGTAAATGTTGGTTATTTTTGCTATAACCACCTCACAGCGTTTCTTGGAGAACTAAATCTGAAAATGAGAACCTACTGGAGCCATTAGTACCCCCTACACTCACACCCACACGCACACCCCTCCTGGGGTTCCTCCCTGAGCCCCCCTCCCAGGTCCTTACCCACATGCCCTCAGTAAGAGCAGCATGCATGGTCGCCAACTGAAGCCATCAGGAGAGTCAATGCATGGTGCAGCTGGGATCACACGTGGGCTGGGCAGCCACCAGAGACCCTGGAAGCCCTACATACAACACCCAGCCAGTCGCAACCTCAGACTTGTGTCTCTCAAGTGCTGGCAGGGGATGTGTTGTTCATGGGTTTTTGTTAGTGGCGGTGGTGTTTAGAGAGAGGGCCTCACTCTGTTCCCCAGGCTGGAGTGCAGTGGCATCATCACAGCTCACCACCTCCTTGACTTCCTGGGCTGAGGCTATCCTTCCACCTCAGTTTCCTGAGCAGCTGGAACTATAGGCGCACATCACCACATCTGGCAAGTTTTTTTATTCTTTGTAGAGATGAGGTCAGTCTCGACAGGCTGGCAGGTTGGTCTCAAACTCCTAGGCTCAAGCAGTCCTCCTGCCTTGGCCTCCCAAAGTGCTGGGATTACAGGTGGGAGCCACTGTGCTTGGCCCTCATTCACATTTTTATATCCCATCTGACCTTGCTAGGAAGCATTTGTGGGCCACTGCTTGTGTCACTCACCACATTTGACAGATGAGCCTGGACCTCAGTAAAGTGGCTTGCTCAAAGCCATACAGCTCCCTGCCCTACTGAGGCCCAGGAGCTGGGGACCCCAGAGAGTAAGACCACCAAGGCCCCTGGTGGCAGAGTCAGGGACCAGTTGTTGGAAAGGCATGAGGGTAAATCTTAATGAAGGCAGATCCAATATCTAACTGCCACTCTCCTCTGGGTGGCACTCGAAACAGGATCCAGTCAATGCCTCCACCCAGCCACCTTGGTTGAGCACCCCTGGACCTCCAAATGGCCTCTCAGTTCAGGCTGGGTTGCCTGAGCCTTCCACAGATTGCCAATCAGACAACTCCTTGTGGGAGGTTCATGGGGCAAGGGGACACGACCTGCCACCAGTCCCATGGGCCAAATGCCAGCACTCAGCTTCACCCATGGAGGGCTCCCTCCCATGGGCAACCAAGGAAGACTTCCCAAAGGCAGTGACACCGATCTGAGTCCTTTGTGGGCAAGAAGCCAGCTGGTGGTGCATTCTGGGGACAACCAGGCACACTCCCTAGAAGGAGTGGCTATTCTGTTTCCAGTACCCTTTTGAGCCCAGAGCCACAGGACATACACACACACAGCTCCTTGGGTTTCTCCCAAGACACACAGAAAGTCCTAGACCCAAAGAGCACAGTTTCCAAGAGCTCACAGGGAAGGGAAAAAGGAGCTAGATACTTGGGTCCGGGTCACAGAGAGCCAAGGGAGGCAGCCTAACCTCCGCAGTGCTGGCCCGGCAGGATCTCAGCTCCCGGCTACACCTCCATATGGTTTCTTTCCAGTTAGAAAGTGGGCCAATTGCGACATTCTCCCCCCATCTGGGGAGACAGATGGACAAGAGGAAGAGGCTGGACAGGGAGGGGAGCGAGGAGGGAGAGCCACCTGGCTCCCATGGGGAAGGGAGGCAGGGGACGGAGTTGACTGCTCTGAACAAGGATAGAACATGAGGTGAAGTGACATCTTGGGCTCCTCTGCGCCCACGGTGCAATGGTCCTGCCTGACACCTCGGGGCATATCTTGCGTGCTCCGGTTTCTGCTGAAGGATTAAGTGACCCCGGCTAGGTCAGCGGGAATGTGAGTGAGTCACGAGGTCCCTGAGCCTCCCGCTCTGTCTGGGAGGGTCTGATATTCTTGCAACCACAAGAAATTCAGGGCTGGAGGGGAGTGAGGGGTTCTGCGGAGACCAGAGTGCCAATGGGCATCTGGGGAGCGCCCGGTGCACGTTGAACACTCTTCTGCACACTGGACTTGGGCCACATCTCCAGTTTATAGATGCGGGAGCTGAGGCTCAGAGAGGTTAAGGGGCTTCCCCAAGGTCAGGAAGGGAGTTGGGGGCAGAGCTGGGGCTTGAACTCGGGCTGTCTCTTAGCCAGTCACATGGGGCAGAGATTGGGACCCGTGGGGCCCACGGGATGTCGGGGCATAGCGCCTGCTCTTGGCAACTGCCCACTGGTGTCACTGGCCCCAGGATGAGAAACCAAATGCCCACGGGTTCCCTTTCTGTCACAGCTGATACATGGCTGCTCAGGGGAGTGGGAAACAAGGGCTGGCTCACCAGCCAGGACCTCTCCTGTTGTGACACAGGTCCTGGCAGTGGCTTCGCCTCTGTCCCAACCGTTCTCCTGACCCTTGCCGCAGCCAGAGAGAACTAGAGCCAAGAGGGACCAGCACTTACTGAGTGACCACTGCACGCCTAGCGCTGTGATGAGCCCAGTCTCAAAGAACCCTCACACACCCTGGAAGCGTCTGCTAACAGTCCCATCTAACAGATGAGGAAACTGAAGCTCAGAGGGGCTAAATAGCCCGACCAAGGCCAAACAGCCAGGCAGTGGGACCGCAGTCCTGGTCTGTGTCCAGAGCCCTCACAGCCTCTCCCGCCTCTGGGAAGTCCCCATTCCTTGCCACCTCTTCGGCTGCAAGACAATCGCCCTCAGCATCCACCCAGAATACAAGAACAGTGTTTCAAGCTCTTTTAGGTGAGTTTGCGTACATACACATACCTGTGTGCATACACCCACAGAATGCACACACTAGCACACACCACCGTGCACAATCACCACCCTTGTGCGTTCACACTCCTGCCACCACAGACCTCAAGTCAGATACAGACCCGCCAGCACTGCCTGTTTCTGGTCCCTGTGCCACAGCACCACCATCACAGTGGGACAGTCTCTCTCGTTGAATCAAAGAAGAATCCACACACCCATGTGGATAGTTAATATAATCAAAGTCAAGCCCACAAAGGCAGGGGCTGCAGCCTCCACCCCCCCCCCCAGGGTCCCGGCACAGGATTTTCAGAGGAGGGGGACCCACATGGAGAAGCTGAGGCTTTCCATGGTCCCCTAGGCTCTTCTGCATGCCCCTTGGTGAGCCCTTCACACCACTCCCCAGCCCCTGCCCAGCCTCCTGCCAGGACCCCAGCCTCCCAGACCGCTGCCAGACACCCGACTGCCACACGCCATCCCAGCCAAGCCAGTGCCTCTGCTCACTGGGCCCAGGGCAGGAAGCCACAGCCTCTTGCCAAGAACATCTGAGCACATCAAGGCTGTAGGGACCTTGGAGAGCAAAGAAATGAAGCCAGAAAGGGGCAGTGCCTCGCCCTGGGGCACACAGCCGCAGGGCAGAGCCCACTTCCAGACAAGGCTCTTGCTACGGAACCGGAGGGTCTGGGACCCAGGCCAGCCCCCAGTGCTTCCTGGCAGAACTGCCACCTCTCCCAGCTCTGGGCACCCACCCAGCCAGTCCCCACAGCAGCACCCACCACAGCCTGCCCCTCCTCCGCTCCTTCCCCTTCTCCCTGTGCCAGCCCACCCTTCAGGGCCCGCCTCTACTGCAATGACTGGACATCTGATGAAGGGGTGTCCATTGGAACACTTCCAAGAGCCACTGGGAGGATCTAGTAAAGCTAGTGCCGCCGTCTCCATGCCGCACATCCTGGCCACACGCGTCCCCGGGGAAGCTCTGGCACGTGGGCACAGAGACCCACACAAACACACACAACACGCACCGTGGGAAGCTGTAGAGATGGAAACAACCTAAATGTTTTACAACAGAAGAATGAATAAAACTGTGGTGTGTTTGTCCAGTGGGATATTATGTCATTAAGATGAATAAAACAGCTCTCACGGACCGACATGACAAATCCCAAAACATAAAACTGACTGACAGAAACAAGTTGCAGTATGATCTGTCCCATTCATGTCAAATTTTAAGGTCACATATGATCTTTATTTTTCATGGAGCTATATGTATTTACGTACATATACACACATACACATATATATATACACATATACACGCTACATATATATGATTCAAGGCTGCACGAGGGCAAGTGATTTTGTTTAATTCATCACATTCTCCACAATGCCTAGAACGCTGCTTGGCACAAAGCAGGTGCTCAAAAAATGTTTGTTGAATGACTGAACAAGGACAGGAAAGGAACCCACCACAATCAGAACCATGGTTACCTACAGGGAGAGAAAGAGAGGAATAGGATAAAGGTGGATTCCAGGGGGAGATTCTACTCAGTTCACAATGTTTTATTTCTTTACAAAATAATCAGAATCAAGCAAATACGGCAACATGGAACCACTGGGTAAACCTGAGCCCCAGAACTGAGGCTGGACAAAACTCTTG